ACTGAGTACTTCAACGTTTGCCATCTGAAAAGGTTATTTAAAAAGAACAAGTGAAACTCCAGATACATCATGCAAGGAGGCTTGTCCAATATTGAAGCTAGAAAGGAAGCGAGAAGATTCCTAGACCACATCAAGTAACTAATAGTTGGCTCTCACCAAAAGGAGGCTACTATGTTTTAGAGACTCACCTGCCCTAAGGGAGGGAGAGGAGGCACCTGGGATTTAGTGGAAATCTCCGGGCCGGCTTGTCTTCAGAGCCTTGAAAAGGCCCCCTAGCTCGTGGTCAAGATCACAAAAGTGGCAAGTCTACAGGAAGTCTGCACATAAATAGACGGAAACAGGAAAGAGAGTGGGGTATGCTTGACTGAGGGACGACAGAGCTGGCCCCAGGATACTGAGGGCTGCAGAGGGAAGCGTGCATTTGTGGAAGGGGCTTTCCAGTGAGGCTATGCCTCAAGGGAGGGAAGTGTATTCAGTCGGGCTTTGGAGGACAGGGTCCTTCCTCCTCCACGAGGCTGGATGTGTGCAAGTATCTGCAGGGCAGCCGCCGAAGTCTAACTACCTGCTCTTCTCTTCTCTCTTCTCGACACTTCCCACGGACTCAGACCCCAGCAATATCTCTCTCTGGCACTGCGCGTGGCTAATCAAAGCGAGAAGCTTTGGGAACTCCCCAGAAGGTGCGCGCTCCCCATCTAACCTTGGGTGAAGGGAAGTGACGGCCTGGTCACGGAACGCCTGTCAGCTTGCAGCCGCGCCCTGGCTCAAACTGGGGCTGGTTGTGGGGAATACTGATGGGGGCGCCCCCTTCCCTGGCTGTCTGAACCTTAGCTGGGAGACTGTGCTGGGGAAGAGGCCGGGGCAGAGCCAGTTCCGAGGGGTGTAAGACGCCCAACAAGAGGGGCCTACCCTATCGCAAACACCGAACCACTTCGTGGAGACCAGAGTTAGCCCCTTTCGCAAGCTGTAATGGCCCCGGGGGTCTTGGGACTGCGGGGGCAAACCGCATCCTTGACTCCTGGCCCTCGGGAGCGCCGGCGGCAGCAAGAACCAGGCCGGGTTCCAAGGGCCGCCACTCCTTCGGTGCCGAGGGCGGAATCCCGGAGGTCTCCCCGTCCGGCGCTGGCTCCCCTAGCTCGACGCACTGGGTCCGAGGCGGCCGGCGTGAGGTCTCAGCTGGCCGCACCTCGCCCACGATGAGAAAAAGGCGGCCAGAGGCCGCCGACGTCTCCTCCCAGCCTGGAGTTGGGACGTACTAGGGTGCAGAAAGGTTGGGATGTCCCCCCACCCCAAACACACACGCGCTCGCGAGCACACATACAGACACAGACACGCGCGCGCGCGCACACGCACACACGTACGCTTTGCTCCCCTGGCCTGAGTGCTGGAGAGGGGGCGCTTTGGAAAACTTGGCTGATTCGCCGGAAGACCATGTGCGCTCAAGACTGTACCCGCCAAACATAACCTTAATTTTACAAGATGTTTTTCCCAGTAACTTTTCTGCAAATGAGTCAGAACAGACCCCAGTTTCCAAGGCAGCCCAGTCTGGTTTGTTAAACTTCTCAAAATGTACCAGGCGGCTCTGAGCCTCCAAATCCTCCATCGCGCGGGGCCGCGGCCGCCCTCACCCGGCTCCGCGCGCGCAAACGGAAGGGCGCGAGGTCTGCGCGGAGAGCCAGGCAGCCCTGGAGCCTCCAGCGGGGCGGCGCAGCTCGAGACCCGGCGACCCGCGGGCAGGGGCGTCCAGTCTCGCGCCGCACTTGCTAGAAAATAGCCTGCCTGACCACAGCCGGCCCTGGCGCTTGCACATTAAGAAACTCAAATTTAAGAAGTGGGTGAATTGGGAAAGGAGGGAACCGGGGGAGTTTGCACCGTGTATCTCAGGTATGAGCACTTTTCACTGACATTGATGCAACTGCATTAGAGTTAATGGCAGCAGCCTGCTTCTCATTATTAATTGTCTTTGTGTTTGGATAAAGTATGTAATCTTCTTCTCAACCACACCATTAAAATAGGTTGCCTTTTCAATTAAGAACTGTCGTGAGCACAGCAGTCAATTTTCCTAATGAAGATGCATTATATTTTCACTTTTTAAAAAATAAATGGAAAATCCCAGGTTTTCATTAGACACGATTACAGAGAAATACAAGAGGGCTTCTCTAAAATTCATTCGGTCATGTAGTGCATTAAACGCCAGGCTTTTAAATAAATTGAAATTTCTGCAGATAAAAGAAAAGCATGGCTATCAAATGTGTTGAAACATGCTTCATTCAGATTTTTAAAGGCAAACATGATGAGTTCATTTTTCTAAATGCACTTAACAGATACAACAGTTTGTAAAAGTACAGTGACTGCCTGAAAATACATTATTACCTTTTTTTTGGGGGGTCCCTTCTAGTTTATGGATGATTTGCAGATCTTAAACTAAGCGGTGAATGTTGGAAATGCACTATACACATTTAGAGAAAGTTCGGCCTTTGAACAATTACCTCAGATTAATCTTTCAGGAGCACAAAGGGTCTGGTCTGTGCACCTACAATTAGTTTTTATTTGTTTGTTTGTTTCCTTTCTTTCTTGCTTTCATTTTCTTTTCTCTTTTAGACAAATTGAAAGCCATTGACTCTGGTAAAACTGTTTAAAATTCTATGACTTTGAGATAAGCAACTTTTCAATTGTTGCAAAAAAAATCAAAAATTGCAAAGTTCGAATTTTGAAGTTTTAAAATTGGTCAGAAATATTCATTCCTGGATCTGAAAATGGAAAGTTTGCATTCATGAACAAGAATGAAAAAGTGTGTGTTATTCATTCTCTAATCTTGAGAACTTGGGAACATATAGTGAAAGGGATCTGTCAAGATCTATGTTTTCTTTGTTAATAAAAAATTTATGTTGCTATCTTTTGCATATGAAATATGTTTCAAACAAACAATTTCTGTCTTGTTCTTTCCCCCATTCAATGTGAATACTCTCATAGGAGCCACATTAGGGAATACTGTTTGAGAAAAAAATAAGTCAAATTCTTCTAAGTAGAAAAAAAAAGTTCCCAACAACAGCCAGACTTTTTCTTTGTAAGGCAACATCAGCTGGTTTCTTGTATACATGATCTTTTCCAGGTTTTAGGTGTTATGTCTTTTAAAAATTGAACTCCTTTTTTTTTTTTTAATCAACCCAGCCCCTTAAAATGATCTGCAAAGAGTGGGAAATTAGATTTTCGATTAAAACCTTATCCCATCTCGAAGGATTACTTCATATTGATTCTTAAATATAGCTACAATTGATGGACTCTAATTAAAAATCCAAAGGAAAAGTCTGTCGTACCCATATAAAAGAAGCTTTTCATATACGGGAAATAAAGCTTGTAAAAGGTTACAAATAAAAGATTAGAGGTTTATCCAAACTAGTTTAAAGCTTCACTGTGGTTTTCTTTTCTTCTTTTTTTCCTTTCTTACAAAACCATTCCTGGGTCTTTTTTCCCCCAGTTTTAAATGAAGTTTGCAAACAGGCAAGATATTGGACTGTAATGGTTGTTTTATATCAGCTCTGTAAGCTCAAGGCTGCTGCCTGCAGTAGAATTGATTTCAAGGAAACTTCAGGACCAGGAGATGAAAATTATGTAAACTGACAGCTACCACCCTTCATCAATCTATCCACATTCCCGTCCACACCCTCCTGACACACACACACACACACACCGACTCACACTTCTCTCTGTCTCACATCCACACATGCCCTTCCTATCCCTCACCCTAACCTTGCTCTACACACACCCTTGGTCCCCACACTCTCAGGGACAGATGCACAGTTCCCGGCTCACACCCTGCTCATAAATGTCTCACAGCCCCACATCTCGACTTGTCACACAATCTTAATCCGTTTCATTCCGGAACAACACGGTCCTCTTTTCCTCTTTTTCGCATTTGGAGTTTGCCTCCCTACTCTTTTATCGAGACGGCCCAATCCTATCTTTGAAGTTGTTTCTTTCTCTCTTACCCTCTTTTCTGAGGCAACCGCAATGCAGGGAGGGAGAAACCCAAGCTTAATTTATAAGTGATCTGTTGCCTTATTTTTTCCCTTAAATTCTGTCTGCATTGCCAATCTTAAATCCTTGTTAAAAAAAAAAAACTTAAATCCTTGTTTAAAAAATTAAAAGATTAAGGTTAATCTCGTTAAAGTTTATAATAAAGACATATCTAAAAACCTAATGACTCCTTTCTAGATATTATGGTGCTTCTAATGCAAAATGTAGTCCCTCACTGTTCACTGAATTGCTGAAAAGATTGGAAATTAATGTTCATATTTCTGAAGTGTTAAGGAAGTCTCACTGGCTCCTTTCCCCCAAGAGGCTGTGTTCTCACGGAATATGGGTTTTGTTCTTCTTTTTTAATTAGCTTGGAAGAATCCCGGGATGTCTTCTCTCTCCGCCCCCTCCCCCACCCCCCCCCCCACCAAAGTTAATAAACTTGGATGAAAGTTTGGAATATTTTAAACTGGCCTGGCTTGTGGGGTGGAGAAAGTGAGCCTAGTTAGTGCCATGCATGCATCTTGATTTCAAAATATGAATATCAGCCATATTCTGGAAACTGCGTTCAAGCTCTGACAAATAATTTGATTTCCTTCATATTGGTTTTCTTAATTTAGCTTCTGAATGCTTATATGTCCTATGCATAGTAAAATAATTGTACAAGTGGCAATTAAAAACCATCCACTTGTTAATGAAAATTGTTTAAAAACACAAAGCATGCTACCATAAGTCAGATTCATAAAAAAAAATGTTAAAGACACAGGACATAGAAAAAAAGTTAAACACAGATAGAAATACAATGAACAGATAGTAAGTAAATTGGAAGTTCAAGAACTTACTGAAAATCAAGAGTTAGACTTTTCATCCAAAGAGTCTTTTTCTCCCACCAAGCATCTAAGGTTTTCAGTAAAAGAGCCCAGCCCCCTTCTCCCAAAGCCAGTGGCTTTTGTCCTGACCTAGAATAGGGTTTGTGGGGACTGTACCTGAGCCGGGCTGTCTGCGATTTCCAAATTGACAAGAAGAGACTGGAAGATAAAGAGCATGTTCTTACAGGTGAAGAGCAATTTTGCAACTTTTCCAAGCGACACCCAGGAGAAAGCTTGCCTGCTACCAACTGCTGCAGAGTCTGGGCAGAATTCCTCTAGAAAGAAAAAGAAAGTCTTCTCCCCCCCTCCCTGTCTGCCTCTCTCTGTCTCTAGTTCTTTCTCCTCTCTGTCTCTCTCTCTCAGATCCAATCTTTTAAGAGCTTCAGCACATTGCTAAGCTAAAGGGAAATTCTCTTTGATAAAGCGGTGTTTCCAGCTTCTGGGTTTTAAAACCTAAATCTATATTCAAATCTGGCTGAAGGTGTGTTCTGGGATTTATGAAAGCCTCTTAAAGGGGTAAATTTACCAAACCGTGACAAAATCATCACAATCTTACTTTAGACATCTGAAGTGGATGAGAATTTTAAAGAGACCCTTGTTTATTTAACACTGTCCATTTCCAACTCGTAGTTTATTGGCCCTGTATTTCTGAGAAGTTATTAGACTAGAGGGCAAAGGAGAAGCCGGAGCTGTCTGCTGCCCGCCGCTGGAAGGGCAAAAGCCCTCTCACGCCCCACCACACATAAATCTGCCCCTGTCGAACAGAACGCGGGGATTTTTAGGCAGGTTCGGCTGCCCCCGCCATCTGGAAGGATATGGAAAACCTCTACATCGGGCTTGAAAGATTTCCCTGGACACTGGACCCTACAGCAGATGGATCTCCCAGTCCAAAATTTTTTACTTGGTGGAGATCACAAGCGCCTGTTCTTATATTTCTCCAACACACCCCATACCGACTGTCCCCAAGGCCTCCCTACGGCCTTCCGCTCTGCCAAATTAGCAACGTCCATTTTTCTTTTTCCGTTCTTTTATGCTTTAAACATCATTGTGATCAAACTGGGGAAAACGTTTTCTTTTGTAGGGGTAGGAAGGAGGCTCTGCTTGAGGCGATCGGGATGTATTTGCCTTTCCGTCATCGAAAGCATCACGACTCTGACCAAGCGCACCCAACCAGTGCCTCCGACAGCCAGCGCCACGAGGGCCATAATGCCTGGAGCATTAGTACCCCCTCCCTACCACCACCCCCATTAAAGGCTTGGGGGGGAGAGAGGCGGTCACCAGGTGTTTCAGTACAGTGGAGGTGGGGGTGAGAAAAAAGGTCGGTACTCACCCTCCCCCTTCCCGGGCCCCCAGAAAGTCCTGACTCCTGGGAACCCGACAGCCAGCGGGTCTCCGGACTGGAGCTGCTGCAGAGGGCCGGGAAGGAGCTGGGCGGGCCCCGGGCCGCTAGGGGACTAGAGGGGCCACCAGGGCCCAAAGCTTTAGAGACACCTGTGACAGAGGCTGCGGCCACGGAGTCCCCAGCCCCAGGCCGAGCTGGAGCCGGAGCCCAGCCCCGCTGCCGAAAGCTTGCTGCCTCGTGCGCACTCCCGTAATTCGTTAATTGCTGTAAATCCCAAGGACGGCCACATTTGATTACACATACAGTATAAGAACCGACAACAAAGCGACGAATTAATTACCAACTTCATTAACATAGGTCCCCAAATTAAAGGCAGCGAGCTCTTTCTTTGGGCCCACTAGCAGTGGTGGTGATGGTAGTTGGTGGTGGTGAGGGGGGGAGGTGTTTAGGAAGAGATTTTATTTTTCTTTTACTGCACTGGGTATTGAGAAGAGCTGTTTTCTGCTCCCTCCGCTCCCCCCACCGTTATTCACATCCACTCAGCAATTCCGATATCCCTCCCCGCATACTCCGCCCAGTCTGTTTTTGCTTTTCTAGAGACTCAGATCCGTTTGAAACCTGTCCGGTCCCTGATCTCTGTGCCAGGCAAAAAAGTTGGGCTGGAGGTCGCACTCTCTGGCTCGGGTCCCCAGCTCCCATCACTTCCCAGCCTCCCGGCTCTCAGCTCGGGGCTCGGGCGGCGCCAGCCCAGTTAGCTCCAGGCCTCGCAGTGTCCGGCATTTGGCGGCGTTTGTTCTAACACAGAAACTGTTTCCAACGGGGGCCTTCCACGTTCGCTCCCTTCCCCGATATCCTGTCTACCTCACACTCGCATCCTCCAGGCCTGATGTGGCCCCAGCTACTTCCCCTAAATGGGATCTGTGATTTGATTCCGGGGTTCGTGTTCCCTACAGTCAGTCTTGGGCTTCACAACTCCAAAAAAAAAAAAAAAAACCCAGGCGCCTACCAGAAGCCGGGGTCTCTCACTCAGGGATCATTTACTTATATGTCTAAAGATATTTATAACGGGGTAGGGAATAGAGAAGACACTGAGATTTAGAAAATAGTTTGTTCTTGGACTGGTGTATCTCTCTGTCTTCCCTACATGCCCACATGGCACTCCATCCCTCCCTCTTTTACCCTTTCTGGCCGTCAGCGTGCTCTGGCCCTGTTTGAGAAGGCATAGTAGTGTTTTTGAGTTTCAGTCTTACCTGCTTTCTGCCTCTCATCCACACCCTTATTGCTGGGCTTGAATGTGATAACCCAGTCACTCCCCACTCCTCCACTCCGCCCCCTGCGCTGCTTCAGCATTTACTTAAATATTTTTATCTTCCCATCTTACATTGTATGGGTTTCCTTTCTTCCCTTCCCTAAAAATAAAAAAAACACAAAGGAAAGAGGAAAGGAAATTTCAGAGTAAAGGAACCAGAGAAAAAGAGGGTAAGAGAAGAACTCCCTGTCCATCATTTTAATTATACAATTAGTTCACATGCTCCGGCCCATAATGTATATTTTAAGCGGAGCCCAGTGTCTTTAAAGAACATTCTGGTAATGTCGGAAGCCTGGATTTGTTGCCGGCTCATCCCCCGGTGCAGCAGCGGCCTGTTTTCCTCCCCCTGTTGTGTGTTTTTATTATTTTCCCTCTGGCTTAGATGTGTCAATCATTCTCTCCCTGCCATTGGTTGGAGAGTTTGCGTCAAAAAGTTGCCAGAGAGGCGCTTTCTCAGCAAATCTCCCTGAGAGCGGGACCGACCTCAGCTCCAACTCAGCCTCCACTGTGATTAAAAATAAAAATTGCTAGAGCAGCCCTCACTCACTACATATACTTTGTATGTATTGCAGAAGGGCCCACGCGTGTTTAGAACTCTAGCCGCCTTCCTCATTTTTTGTTCTTAAAAAAAATTTTTTTTCTTTTTGGTTGTGTTTGACTTTTCATGGATGGGTGAAGACTACAAGGTTTCTAACTCAATACTCTTGATTTCTTTTAGGATAGCTGGCTATTTGGAATTTGAAGGATATTTGACTTTTTCTAACCTCCCATGAGGCTGTAAGGTAAGTGTCCGTCTGTCTTGTCTCTCTATATCTACGTGTACTGGTGTCTGTCGGCCATCACCCTATAGTACCGCCAATAGACCGACCGATGCCCCTGTGGGAACGTGGAGTTCTGCAGGCGGATGCATTATTTTCTCTTACAAATTTTGAGGCGTAACAACGATCGTTGCAAAAAAAGAAATGTGATCTGGAAATGAGAGCGGGAGTGGGAGAGAGTCAGAGAGCGTGCTCCTGGGGGTCGTCGCTTCTGCAAAACGTCGTCGAAACGCTGCGAGTGTAATCTGGGTGTTTTGGAAGGTTTTGTTTGTGGTTTTGTTTTTACGTCAACGCCGTTCTGGGCTTCTCCCCGCGATCTTTGCGTTTTGGCCCCTAGATTGGTTTGGGGTCGTTTGGATGGATCCCAAAGACGTTTTTAGAGTCCGAGACAAAACGATGCAGATGTAGCTAGATGTATGGATTGAAACAACGATAATAAAAAGTCAGGCGCCTCCTTGGGCCCGCGCGCCGGAAACCTGGCTGGCTTGCGGGTCTGCCTGGGCCAGGGGCAGCCGCTCGAGCCCCTGCCCGCCCCTGATGAACCTGAGTGGAAACCGGAGCGGATAACCGAGGAGGACGAGAGCGCTGGTTTGTAGTCAGCCCCGGCGCTCGCCGCTCGCTTTTTTTTGGCCTCCTCTCCCTCAGCCTAACGCAGCTCGGTTCTCTTTCTTCCAAAAGCTTCCAGGTCACCTCTTTGTTTTTAAACACCCACCACCCCACAAAACCAAACCACCTTGGGCTGAAATTACGCAGCCCCCTACCCCCACCCCCGGTTGCCCTGGTCCCCGACCCTGGTCACACGGCCGAGAGAACGTGAAGAGTGGTTTTTCAACAGGACTTTGCCGGGCATGGTTCGCGGCCCGCCCCCGTCGCCCTCCGCGCGCACCTGGGGCGGGCAGAAGTGGCAGCGAGTGGCCCCTGCTCCGCCCGAGGCCGCGGCCGGGCCGAGGACAGGAATCCTTCTGCTGGGACCGCGGCCCCTCAGCTGTTCTCTGGCGGGGAGCGTCAGGGCTTGCCCGCGCGCTCGCGCACCCCCTTCCCAGGTTCAGGCTCGGAGACAATGAGGTGTCGTGGGTCTGGACCGGGCGGGGGCGGAGGGGTTCGCCGAGGCCCAGCTTGTGCCCTGGGTCTGCTCAGTGAGAACCATTAGAAGGTCTCTGCCAGCTCCGGTCCCGGGCGACTGGTCGGGCTGCAAACTCCCAAGAAGTCTTCGCTTTGCTGCGTTCAGGTGACTGTTGAAATCGATGCCCGATTTCGGGACACATTTTTGGAAACCCAAGTCCTCCGTCAGAATTCCACTGAGTTGGCTTTTGCCTCCTTCCCAGGCCGAAGTGGTGCGCGGGGAGCGAAGGCCGAGCGGCGCTGACCCTGCGGTGGCTGATTGCTTGGGGAGAGGACAGGGAAGTCGCTCCTTGAAATTCTCCCCAGCATCCTAGGGCTTTTCGGGAAGGAATTTCTCCTGCTCAGTTCGGGACTTTTTCCAGGTGCCAAAAGTTATTAGCAGGGGAGAGGAGCAGGAGAGGAAACTCCTCCCCCCAGAGCAAGGTAGACACCCAGACCTCAGCGCTGCTAACACCGGGGCTTTCTCCCAACGATAATTAATAGTCAAGGCCAACCCTTTTGGCACGTTTCTTCCTCCCTCCCTCGCGGGTGGCAGAGTTGTTTGATTCCCCGAGGCCAGAAACTTTCACTCGAGTTCGCCGGAGAGAGGCCAACGCCCGCCGTTTTCCGCGGTGCCCACACGTCTCCTTTTTCTTTCTTTCCTCCTCTTCGTCGTCTTTCCAGCCTCAGGCCAGTCGCCAGTCCGCGTAGTTTTGTTTCCTTTCCATCATGCAGAAAATTAATCAGCCCGGACGAGAAGCAGAGCGGAGCATGGCTGCCTGTAATTAAGGGACGTGTGCCCCTCGGATTATCTCGTTAGTTTATCAAGAAAACATTTATTATAATTAATTCTCGGACGAGGTAATTATTGTTGAGCGAGGACACAGCAACTGGTAGATGGGCTTCTTGGAAGAAAAAAAAAAAAAACAAGGCGAGGGGGGAGGGGGAAGCGACAGATTGCAGGAATTGACCGTTAGATATAAGGCTGCGCGGGCGACGCGGGCAGTGGAGCGGGACCTCGGGCACCAGGCCTGCGGGGCTGCGGGGCTTCCGGCAGGGACACGAGGCCCAGGAACTCGCTCCCGGAGGTACGGTCGCCGACCGGCTGCCTGGACTCACCGCATGACCGTGGTCAGCTTCTAGGTATGAGTTCTCCAGAGGCCACCTCGTAAGCAGTCATAGTGAGGCGTAGATTTTGGAAAAGTTATTTCTTTTCCCCATTCTGGACTCTGATTCGGGAGGAAAAGGGTTTTAAAAGTTAGATGAAAGGGCCCACGCCTTCTAAGCAAAGTGCAGACCTAGGCCGGCTGTGGAGAGAATCTCTTAGTTTTGTTTTTTGGTTTTCCTCTCTTCCTTTTAAAGGTGGATCCGGGAGCAAAAGTGAAAATAGTCTCTTCCAAGAATTTTAGCCATTTTGCAATGGTAAGGGCAGAGGAGCTCCTGGAAGGATCTCAGCCCTGGTGCTTTTTCTGTCGGTTACTGCTTTTTATGTTGGAATGTGCTACTTTATTGTACGATGTGTCAGGCATTTCTAATTGGGTGAGAGCTCGACATGTAAGAACATTTCCATATTTCTCATGGGTACATCTGATATGATTTTACGTTTCTCTATAGTACTACAGTTCAGGACTTTGCAAGGTTGTACGATTAAACAAAAAGTTTCCAGTTTAGAGGCTGTTTAAACACATATATGACTGCTTTAAAATACAGTCATATATATGTTTAAACAGCCTCTAAACTGGAGATTTTTGTTTATTTTCACAGCCTCCAAAGAACAGCATTTTGAAAGGAAAAGACCATGCAAAAATATAAAGTCTGTATTGTGGGGGCAACTAAATTAGTTTTACTGAGGATAATACAAACTCCTCCATGAAAGACACTTATAAAATTACATTAAGTTAGATCTTAGGTTAGAAAAGAACGACTTTTGTGCTCTGAATTTAAATCAGACAGAAGTTACTGAGTTGCATTTATGGACTTTTGTGCCTTGCTGTCTTAAACAACGTAAATATGAAAACCCGGAGTCCTTAAAACTCAGTAAGACCTTTATCTTGTATCCGCCATTTTGAATCAATCTTTCATGGTGTCAAAGTTTCAAAGTAGAGATCCTTGCATATAAGTGCCACATTTTAGAAAAATAAAAGGCAGACTTGCAAACTGCCAGCCTATATTAACATCTACTTTGAATCTCTTTGCTGGGGTGGAGGGGGGGAGCTCAGCTGAAGAAAGTAAATAACTTTTCTTTTTCTTTCTTTCTTTCCCTCCCTTGAGCTCTTTTTCTCATAGGATTATAGGGAACTTGAACGGTAGGGAGAAATTCTGTTAGTTTCACAACTTGGGATATTTGTGTATCTACTTTCTTTAAAACTAAAATGTGCAAAAGGCAGTTAGTGTTAACAGGAAACTCTGGTGCAGCTGCTGAGGACCCAAATGTCTGAAAATTTGCTTTCCGCAGGATCTGCAGCCTCCACACATCAAAAATCAACATGGAAGCAGCTTGCACTACAAATGTGGGGCCCCATCGTTATCTGATTGGTGGGATTCTAACTTAACAATTTCTGGCAAGCCCTGTGCCAATCTTGAAGACTTTTTTGCAATATGTTTAAATATTTGATGGGTGTCTATTAAAAGTTAAATACTTGTTTGTTTAGCTTTCGTTCTTTAGACACATATAATCAAGGTTCTCCAAAACCCTAATAAATCTGTTACTTACCTAGAAATCTAATTATCCAGACTACTAATTAGGTGAAAATGATTACCGGAAATGACTTCAAATGTGGAATAATAGTGGTTGAGCAGTTTTTCCAAGTTTATCATTTAGTAAGTTGGTATTTTAGATGTTAAATGCACTGACATTTTAGCTTCGCAGCAGTTGGAAGTGGTAAAAAGCTAAGATAATTAAAATCTCTGCCACGGAAAGGCAACAGTCTGGGGAGAGGTAGATTTCTTGAATTGTTTCTTTGTTTCTCACCAATGAGCTTTGTTATCAGCATTATTTATTTAGCCAAAGAGTTCTTTGTCTCTGCAAATGGCCCCAATCAAGTTTTGTTTGAGACAATTAGCTAGTGCCAGCCAATGAGTCCTATGCAAATGTAGGGATAGGAATGCAATGTGTGCATTTGAAGGCGTGGGGTTTTGTTCTTGGGGAAGGCAGATTGTAATTGCTTTCTTCGGGTACATTTTTTTTTAAGTTTGGGGTGGGGGTGGGGAAGACAGGTTTATCTGGTCTCCCTTCATCCCCTCTAGTTTCAGAGCAGCTGGGGGTGGGGGTAGGGATGGGGGGGGAGTGTCTGCAAGTCCTTTAAAAGCCTCTGCCTCGCTTAGCCCGTGCTCTTTTTAAGTTAGTGGTGGAACGTGGAGGAGCTGCCGCCTCAGAAGCAGTAAACCAGCACCTCTGTTTGTTTGCTTTGCCCTTAGTTCCACTGCTCCATTCCCACCCACCAAGGACTCTGAACCTGTCCACCCCCAGCGCATCAAGATCTTCCAGCTGGGTACCCCCGATTTGGGCCGACTTTGCACCTCCAAACAATCTTAGCATGATGTCTTATCTTAAGCAACCGCCTTATGCAGTCAATGGGCTGAGTCTGACCACTTCGGGTATGGACTTGCTGCACCCCTCTGTGGGCTACCCGGGTAAGTGAGCCCTGCTGCACTCCTGCACCCCCCTACCCCACGCCATCCTCCAGGAAAGCAACACCCTATTTCCCTGGAACACAGGTGTTAGCAGTCACACTGTCCCCACCCAGCTTCAGGCTAGGTCTCCACTAGGTTTTCCTTCTGAGGAAGCAGCCCCGGGCATTTACCTACTAAGCAGAGAACAGGGGTTGGGAGAAGTGAGTAGGCGGCTCTGCAACAGTTACATTGCATCATTTGATTCTTAATTCGAGTAAATAAGGGATTGGCATGAGAGTGGGATGAAGAAGGTCACTGTCCTTGACATTTGTGCAAAAGACCCCTGCCCATGTCTGGATGCCCCATTCCTCAGGAGTGTCCTTTTGGAGAAGCTGAGCTTTGTCTCCATAAGTCGTTAGGACCCTCGGGCTTTGCAGTTGTTCCCTCCAGGCCCAGGCCTTCCCCTCTGACCTCCAGGGCCTGCTTTAATCCCAAGAAGTGTGACTTCCTCCAAATTCGGGTGCTTTCCTTTCCAATCAGATCTGTTTAAAATCCTCCTAGAAGGAAAAGTTGAATCAACTGTGTCCCCATTTTAAAGATGGAGGAACAAAGGCCCTTGGTGTGCTAAAAACCCTGAGAGCAGGTTTCAGACTCCCCCCATTGATTTGAGCTGCCAGTCTGTCCTCGGAGATCCTTCGATTTCATGGAATAGCCTTTTTGTGTTGTGCTTTGGGAGTTGATTTTTGGAGAAAAAAAATTTTTTTTGGTGTCTTTTAAGAAATGTTTCATTTGTTAACTTTCCAAGTGATGCTCAGATTGGAGCAATCTCAACCCCAGGAAGAGTGGGGAAAGCAGCAGCATGTGTCCTGGGTCCCTGGGGAGCAAGGCTGGGGAGGCGGTGGGAAGAGCATTGGTAGGCTCCTGGTTGAAGGGCTGTGAAGAGCTGGGGATTGCTTCGGGGTGGAGGGTAGGGGTGTCGGAGAACCCTCGGAAACTCCTTGACTGAGAACTGCTCCCCCACCCTAAAGGGCCCTGGGCTTCTTGTCCCGCAGCCACCCCCCGGAAACAGCGCCGGGAGAGGACGACATTCACTCGGGCGCAGCTAGATGTGCTGGAAGCACTGTTTGCCAAGACCCGGTACCCAGACATCTTCATGCGAGAGGAGGTGGCACTGAAAATCAACTTGCCTGAGTCCAGGGTGCAGGTAGGGCAGATGCAGGCAGAGCCATCCTTCCTTACCATGCCACCCTTCCCCAGAATATGGTGCATGTCCAGAGCTATGGAGAGCCCCAGATCTTTGAGAGGACTGAAGGAAGGCTTGAAACTCTCCTTTGCTCACTAACGGGCCAGGAAACTATTCTCTTCCTGCCCTTTTTTGCCTCCCATCACCACTTAATCCTATAAGCAAGGGTCTTCAAGGTCTGGGTTGCTGGTGGAGGGAGACCCAGCCTAGAGCAGATTTCCAGAGTAGTCACATGGTATTGTAACCCTTCCCTTCCTTGGTATAGAAATCCTCCCCTATTCTCACAGACTTGTCTGAAAGCAGCTCAGCTCCTGACAATCCAAATATTTTTACAGATGAAAAAATCAAGTAAATGACTTGCTCAAGGTCTTAACTAAGTTTGGTGGCAGAGTCAGAGTATAGACGCAGCTGGTGCTTTTACCAAATACATCAACACAATAAGAATGTATTTTCCTTGACTTCTTAGGGATTGAACAGAATTTTCTAGCTCTGAGCCATTTAACAGATAAAATATCTACATAATGTCTCTAGTGACACCTCTCTTGCTTTAGTTCCACTAAACTTGACCTGAAACTGGAGGGGGAAGGTCAACTCCAGCTTGCCTGGTGAGTGAGCCCTGTACAGAGTTCTCTGCAAAGTATTTAGCATGTAAACCACACATACGCCTGGACTGTGTTTCTGAAAATGACAGACATCAGTGTCAGCTGCTAATCGGGAAAGAGGCTTTTTCAAAGAAGGTTGGAGGAAGTTTTAGCACTTCTAAGGCTTGAACCAAAGTCCTCTCTGGGAGAAAATAAAGGGCCCCGAATGGTTGGTGGTATTGAGCTTGGCCGTGGTGGCATCACTTTTACCACAGTGATGGCACCCATACAGAGAGCTCATTCAAAAGTTCAGCTAAGGACCTGTCCTCCAGAAAATGCCAGCAGTTTCTTTTCTAAGACCAATCATACACCAATCATAGCTTCTTCATTGCAGAACATAAACAGGGCTGGGAAAGAGAATTGTCAAGATTGCAGCAGAGGATTAAAGTGGTAAGCCAGTGAACATAGCACAGGAGACTATCTATGTGCTGAGTGGCACTGCTGTAAAGGCACAGACTCAAGTCTTGGAGACTAGCAGGTCCGTACTCCAGCTCAAAGCAGAGAACATATAAGTCCCTCCTTTTATCACAAAGAAACTTTCAGCAAATAGTGACCTTCAAACCTCTTTCCTCAACAAGACTATGTCTTCCCCTTGGAGCTTCGTTTTGTGAGTCTTTCTAAGAGAGACAAAAAGAAGGGTGATGGAACCAACCAACCTCCATATTAGCAGTTGCTTCCTGGAAGGTGAACTGTAAATGAATTTAGGCTGTTCCTGTTAGCATGTAACAGTAAAATTGCTTTCCCTCATTTCTCATGTATTTGCCTCCAGAAGACATCGATACATTTTATTCCTCTGTGAGAGTGTTCCAAGATATAGCTGAGTCTATGTGTATGTATGTATTAGAGGTGAAATAAGATAGGAAAGTGAAGTGGAGAGTTTCTAGCCATATGATTTGGGGGATTCTCTTAAATTTTATTATTCTGGGCTAGAAATAAGGCAGTGCCAAGTGTTTTTAGACAGTCTCCCCAACTTTCTTACAAGTCCAGGAGTTTATATGAGTGTGCCACATAATAGGTCTTCAGTGGAGGGGGAAATTGTGTATTCAGCTGATCTGTCTGTGTAAGATAAATTTATAATCTGAGAGCCATTCTTGTCCTTAGGGAGTTATCAAACTGTGTTAAAGACATTTCTTTCCCTTCCAAGGTATGGTTTAAGAATCGAAGAGCTAAGTGCCGCCAGCAACAACAACAACAGCAGAATGGAGGTCAAAACAAAGTGAGACCTGCCAAAAAGAAGACCTCTCCAGCTCGGGAAGTGAGTTCCGAGAGTGGAACAAGTGGCCAATTCACTCCCCCCTCTAGCACCTCAGTCCCAACCATTGCCAGCAGCAGTGCTCCTGTGTCTATCTGGAGCCCAGCTTCCATCTCCCCACTGTCAGATCCCTTGTCCACCTCCTCTTCCTGCATGCAGAGATCCTATCCCATGACCTATACTCAGGCTTCAGGTTATAGTCAAGGATATGCTGGCTCAACTTCCTACTTTGGGGGCATGGACTGTGGATCTTATTTGACCCCTATGCATCACCAGCTTCCCGGACCAGGGGCCACACTCAGTCCCATGGGTACCAATGCAGTCACCAGCCATCTCAATCAGTCCCCAGCTTCTCTTTCCACCCAGGGATATGGAGCTTCAAGCTTGGGTTTTAACTCAACCACCGATTGCTTGGATTATAAGGACCAAACTGCCTCCTGGAAGCTTAACTTCAATGCTGACTGCTTGGATTACAAAGATCAGACATCCTCGTGGAAATTCCAGGTTTTGTGAAGACCTGTAGAACCTCTTTTTGTGGGTGATTTTTAAATATACTGGGCTGGACATTCCAGTTTTAGCCAGGCATTGGTTAAAAGAGTTAGATGGGATGATGCTCAGACTCATCTGATCAAAGTTCCAAGAGGCATAGAAGGAAAAAATGAAGGGCCTTAGAGGGGCCTACCAACCAGCAACCTGAAATGGACAAACCAATCTACTTAAGATCCTGTCATAGTTTTAGATAATTGGTTTTCCTGATTTGCGAAGTAATCAAAAGCATTCTAGCCATGTGCAACCAAACACCACCAAAAATAAAATCAAACAAAACTAAGTTGTGAAGGAAGGGAGGGAAGATCATAGCCTTCTTAAGCAGAGGTGTCCAGTGTTTTAGCCAATCCTTGGTTGAATCTTAGGAATGAACAGTGTCTCCAGCTCATTCACGTTTCATGACCAACTGGTAGTTGGCACTGAAAAAACTTTTCAGGGCTGTGTGAATTGTGCGACTGATTGTCCTAGATGCACTACTTTATTTAAAAAATAATGTTCATAAGGAGTCAATATGTAGTTTAAGAGACAATCAGTGTGTGTCTTATAAATGGTACATCTGTGGTTTTTAATCTGTGCTAGACTTCAAAACTGTGATCTCCTGTTATTGTATGCAACCTTGAACTCCACCTCTGCAGGGGTTCTTCTGTGATTAAATAGGTTATAATTATAAGCAAAATTCAGAGCAACTGAGTACTGATCTAAAAAGATTACCTTTGGCTGGAGGTGAGCTGCACTGAAACTTTACGACAAAATGTCTCTGGACGAGGAGAGTGAGAGAAGAGAAGCAAAAGGACACTAATTCATCTGTAATTTACTGTTGGTAAGCCTAGCAGTAAAGAGACATTGGTCAATTGCCCTGACCCTGATGGATTACTAAACTGAGATCATTGTTGTTTATGCTTGCAGATGTTAACTGGAAAAGTTATATATGCATAAACCTTTTCTTCCTGGATTTGGCAGATATGTATAATTATATTAAAATGGTTCTAGCACAACATTGGGTCCTGTTTAATTTTACACTACTATTTAGAAATGAGAAGCCAACATTCAGCCTCTCCTTCCCAAAACACATTTTTCTTAGGGCAGAAAGGAAATTAGCAAACTTATTTTTACTTTTTTTTTTTCTTGGCTAATCTATGGATAAACTAGATATGAATGACAGTGGTATGTAGACTGTTTGTGACTTTCATCAGGATTGCTCTAAAATTAGTTTGGAAAGCCTAGCATTCAATAGGATCTTCTTGCTTTTCCCTCCCTGCCGCAAACCTGAACGATTTCTTAGGCACTTTATTAGTTTTAAAATAGATCAAATTTTTAAGAGGGAGGAGGAGAATTGGAGATTTTCTGAAAACATGAGAATGACAAGAATTTCTTGTTTCTATTCTCTTTATTTGGTTAAGGGGATTTTTTTTCTAACTTCCAAAAAATCTGAGGTAAACATGAGAGGGAGTGTAATCAGAATCTGAAAGCAATTCAGGCAGAAATGATTTCTGAACAAAAGAGTTTCAGAAAAGTTTTAAAACCTATAATTTCAGTAGTTGAACATAAGGCACCCTGGTCAGTTTTGTGTGTGTGTGTGTGTTTAAGAAAGTGCCGAGGGGGAAAAAAATGGGTCCCTTTTCAGTTGTACCTGCATTTTGTAAACCAGTCACCAGAAAAGACAAGTGGGCCAATGATCATGGTGCTCCTCAGGTAAAAGCAATATTTAATTTCATTTTAAGCTTCTTAAGTTCTTACATTTGACCAAAATTAAGTGACTCTTGATTGTAACGTTTTAAATGAAGGTTAGCAGTTGCAACCATTTTGTTTTCTGGCTATTTCATGTTTCCGGTCCCTGCTGCGCATGCTTCCTTGAACTGTCTGTACTCTTTCCTAGTAAGTAAATTGGTTCACTGGCAAAAGAAATGCAACAGTTTGCAACCAACATTTGAGGCCAAATTTGATGGCAAGAGTTTTCAGTACCTATTGATAACCTTCAACATAGTGTAGTTTACACGAAGTTAAATTGGGACTTGAGTCATTGCTTACAGGTTTGCCTAGATTCAGGGTCTTAATCTCCCAGCTTTTCTTCTGCAGCAGTAATGCAGAATCAAAATAACCATTTTCTACCATTGCCTTCAATATGCAGGATGTCCCGCAAGGGGCGGGGAAAAATTACCCTTTCTTTAAAAACAGTAATGACGATGAACATTGGGCTACTCAGCAAACAACGCAGTTAGCAGTTTCTCTCCTGAAAATTAAAAAGGTCAGAAAGAAGAGGCACTGAGCACCCTCTGAAACAAATTTTTCCATCACCTCTGCACAACTTCGCTTAACGAAGAGCACGCAGTTAAATCCCTTTGAGTCGAAGGCGAAGTAAGAAATGAATTCCCCCTGACCGAAGGCAACGGAGGGAGGGAAGGAGGCGGGGAGCGAGCATTGGCTTAAAGACATCCAGAGAGTTCCGATTTCCACTCCTAGTCAAGACCAGTTTTAATGAAGTTAATAAGCCAAATAATGGTGATGCTTGATACTGAAATGACGCCATCCTCCAAAGGGGTCAGGGAACTACTTCAGCTGCGTATTGGTAATTAAAACAGCGGCCATATAAGCTTCGTTTTGGAGGACAGGTCCTGATGAGGGTGGGGGTAGTTGCTTTTCAAAGATCTCTTGCCCCAAACCTTTATCTTTCCCACAGAGATTCTTGGTCCTTTGTATTTCACCTTGGGAGTGTTTCTTTCCTTCCTAGATAAGAAGAGAAATTCAATCAACTCAATTGAGTTCCGGCTTTCGAAACCTCCAGGTTTTAGATAACGGTGGGTTTCCTCAACCCCTCTCCCACACGGTGCCCGCTAATCCCCTTTCCTGTGGGTGTCCCCCCCAGGCCCGCACGGCCGCCGGCACAGGCGCAAGACGCCGGGAGGCTGGGGCGGGACTGCCCGAAGGAACGTGGTGTCCCGCGGCCCGCGCCCTCGGCCTCTGGCTAAAGAGCTGGCTTTTCTAACTCCTCAGTGCCCAATCGGAGTTACCCGGGAACAGTACTCACATCCCTGCCTCGAGGGTTCCCAGCCCGGGCCTACGCGAGACTCCCCAGCCTGGCACCGCCCAGTGGGCCCCATTCACAGCCGGACGGGCCTGGCCGGGGCGAGACTGAGGCTCTTGCCTAGCCTGGTGTGCCCGTTTCCCTCTGGGCTGGCTCCGTCCCTGGCCCGCACCTGGGCCCTCTCCAGAGCCGCAGCCCGTCCCCCCCACCCCGCTGGGCCTCGTCCTCAGGCCTCGGCCGCGCCAGGCCCCTGGCATTGCGGGCTGCGGCAAGTCCCGAAGCCAAGTGGCGAGGCCTGTGCGCCTGCCGGAGTGCGCAGCCAGCCGGAGCGGAGCGCAGGCCCCGCCCGAGCCCCGCAGTCAGGCCTCCAGGTCCGCTGCGGGCCGGGGCGCCAGTCGCTGGGAAACCTCGCGGCCTGGAGGAGGGCAGGGTCAGGCAGGCTTCGAGGATTGGGGGTGGGGTGGCCCGGCCAAGAGGACAGCGCCCTGCACCCCAAGGAGCTAAAACCGAGACCGACGGAAGGGACGGCGAGGTGGGTCCACCGGCGGGGGAGAAGGGGCCGGGACGGCGAAAGCAAGCCCGGCGGGGCCCGCGGCCGTTAGCTTCCCAGTCTCCCGGGAGGATGAGCCGCAGACGGCTGGGGAGGAGGCCGCTTCTCCCGGCCGCGAAGGGCGAGGCCGCCACCGCGGGGGCTCCAGAGGCGTCTGCGGCCTCCCGCGTCCCGAGCTGACTGGGCCCAGCTGGACCTTCCTCGGGCCCCTGGGGATCGTCCCGGGAAAGCCGGGTACCTAGGCTACTGGGTTTTGGGGAGTCTGGCCCTGTGCTGGGGGCTCCCCCGGCACTAAGTTGAGGCTTTGGGGGAAGCCCGAGCAATTCCCAGTTTCCTTTGGCTCATCCTCTCTCTCCTAGTCCTCTAGATCTTTTTTTTTTTTTTTTTTTTTAAACTCAGTGCCTTCTTTCTTTTCGGACCCGTCGCAGCTCAGCGGCCCTGAAGGCCACAGGCCAGCTCTGGAATGGGGAAGCGGTCCCTTCGGCGTCCCGGGCAGGGCCAACTTGCCTGGCAGCCCATTCCGGTTACCTGCAGGGCAGGGGCCGGCAGTCAAGTCCCCGCGGCCACTTAACCGGAAGCGGCTAGCCCTGGCGTGCACACCACATGTTCGAACGCGCATCTCACACCCAGGGAGAACCTCGCTGTTGTTACCCGGACAAAGCTGTAACCCAAAACCAGGCGTGCCAGTGCTAGGTGGTGGTTTATTGCATACAGAAAGATGTTTTTAATCATGCAAAAGAGGAACACAAAAGAGTTAGGCAGGAGACCAGCGCATCCCATGCAATTGGAAGCAGACGTGGTGGAAAACAACCAGAATGGGAAGATGCAGGATCAGAGTCAGCCATGACTTCCGCCTGGGTTTTTGGCTTCCTTCGAGACCTTTAAGATGACCAGCTATCTCTCTCCTTTTCGTTCCACGGAAAGGTCCAATCCCCCATCAGGCATCTGCGTGCCCAGATTTGTGACCAGTTGCCCTGAGCACCTCTGATTTTCTCTTCTAAACCGCCTGAACCTGTCAGCACAGGGTGCTCTGATAAAACCTGATTCCTCTAGTCGCCCCATTTCCGCCCTTGGCTTAGTGTGACAGAAAAGACCGGCAGCCCCTGGGACTTTCACCTGGAATGGGGAGAGCAAAACCCCAAACAAAACCCATCCCCATGTTTTTTTGGTATTAGGCTCTGGAACTGCACAGATTATAGGATTTGTCTCGGACAAAATTAACATTACATGTGAAACCGTGGTGCTCCGGTGTATTGAGACATGCTGTATGGGATTGCTTGGAGCATCTCTTTCAAACTGCCTGTTAATAGCAACATGAGACATTCAATAATAATGTGTTTGGTGGTGGGGTGTGTGTGTGTGTGTGTTTGTTGTTTTTTTACCTGATGGAAACAAAATCTAGGCACTATTTGGAAAGGGTAGTTTTTCTAATGGAAGCAGTTTGAAGGACACAGAACCAAATGGGGAACTAGAGGATGTTTCTGTATACTGAAGTGGCTGTAAAGGAGGGAGCAGACCTGCGTTTGAAAGCCCTTCTACTATGCAGCAGTTCTTAAAACCAAGGGAGACCCCCCAATGCTAAAGAGAAACAGCCAGACTTCCTCTCTTGCAAGCAGTGTATTTTATGTTTAAAAACCAACCTGCTGTCGACTGCAAACAAACAGTAAGCAAATTCAAATAAAAGATCCCTACCAAGTCCAACCCATTTGGTCAAAGATAACTGCAGGTGCCTGGGAAGCCAGGCTATCACTAGGGGGAGGGTCGCTCCAAATTTTGTTTTTCTCCTAGAGGGAAAGTCAAACAGTGTGAGGTCTGATTCACTTTTATTCCTTAATCTCCCCACCCCTTTTAATTCTTAGTGGAAACACGGTGTTTTGGGAAAAAATAAAAACAACAAAACCAAAAATCCCACTGAAAATATAATGGTAAGTGGGCAAAGTTTAGATTGACTTCTGTTTCAGCACCGCAAGGAAAAAATATTCAAGAATCAGAATCCTCTGCTACCTTCTCCACTGCTCCTGCCTTAGTTTGCCTACTGCAGGTGTGCAAAGGGGGTCTTTCGATTAAGAATTTCTTAGTCTACTTGACATTACTAGCTGACATTTCCAGTTGACAGCTTCTTTAAAAATAAGATGCCAGTTTCTAGTAGCCATACAATTGTCGATTGCTTTTTTGTTCCCCTGGACTCCCCATTAAAGGACCTGCAAATGCTGCCTTCAGGAGTCACAGGCCTGCTCCCTTCTATCTCAGGTTCCCCACATAAAAGCTGGAAAGTACCCTTTAGTGTCAGGTCCTTGGTGGGGTGAGGGCTCTCTCCCTTAGGTCTTGCCCCTAATCTCCCAAATGAAATCTCTTGAGGCCTTAGGCTACAAGGAAAGCAGAAAATCACTCATCATAGCCTGAGTTGTTAAAATCTGTTCCTA